GTGGATAGAGCATCGGCCTGTGGACTGAAGGGTCCCAGGTTCGAGTCCAGTCAAGGGCATGTACCTTGGTTGCGGGCACATCCCCAGGAGTGGGTATGCAGGAGGCAGCTGATTGATGTTTCTAACTCTCTATCCATCTCCCTTCCTCTCTGTAAAAAAATCAATAAAACATATATCTTTTAAAAAAATAAAATAAAATAAAATCGCCCCTGCCAAATAATAATAATAATAATAAATAATAAATAAAATCGCCCCTGCCAAATAATAATAATAATAATAATAATAATAAATAAATAAATAAATAAAATCGCCCCTGCCGCCTGGCCGGTGTGGCTCAGTGGTTGGGCATCCACAGGAGGTCAGGGTTCAAGTCCTGCTCAGGGCACATGCTGGGGTTGCAGGCTGGATCCCCAGTGGGGGGCGTGCAGGAGGCAGCCGATCCGTGATTCCCTCTCATCATGGATGTTTCTCTCTCCCTTCCTCTCTTTGAAATCAATAAAAAAATATATATATTTTTTTTAAATATATTTTATTGATTTTTTACAGAGAGGAAGGGAGAGGGATAGAGAGCTAGAAACATCGATGAGAGAGAAACATCCATCAGCTGCCTCCTGCACATCTCCCACTGGGGATGTGCCCGCAACCAAGGTACATGCCCTTGACCGGAATCGAACCCTGGACCCTTCAGTCTGCAGGCCGACGCTCTACCCACTGAGCCACACCGGTTTCGGCAATAAAAATATATTTTTAAAAAACAAGTAAGGAAAATGTGGGGGTGGTGGGGGCGGAGAAAAAAAGGAAGAAAAGACACTTATTGCAGAAAAAAAAAAAAAAAGAAAGAAAGAAAGAAAATGATTGCAGCTCAGGGGAGGATCCCGAGTGTGTTCACTCCGGATTGTCCACCCCCTCTCGTTATGGTCACAATAATTTCAGCAAACGAGCCCTGAGCAGGCCTGAGCCCTGGGGACCGTGACGGACAGGACTGGTCGCCTGGCTTCACTGACGGGAAGAATCTGGAGCTCGGGCCACAGGGGCTGTGCTCTGTGTGTGTGTGTGTGGGGGGCGGCCCCAGGCCTGGTCGTTGGAGGAAGTTTGGGGTTAAGAGCACTGCGGGGGGGGGGGGGGGCACCTCACGGACAGTCATTCTCAGAGCAGCGGGGAGGCTCATCAGCCCCCGCCCGTCTGGCACCTGCTGGGGGCAAACCGCAGCCTCTGCCCAGACGGCAGCCGTTGCCCGTGCACTTCCCGCTGCGCCTTGTCTGCGAGCTCGATGGAACCCTTCAAGGCTGCCCACCCCTGCCCACCCTGCCCGCCACCCCTGCCCCCACCCCTGCCCACCACCTCTACCCACCATCTCTACCCACCACCCCTGCCCCCATCTCTGCCCACCTCTACCCGCCACCCCTGCCCCCACCCCTGCCCACCCCTCCCCACCACCTCTACCCACCATCTCTACCCACTACCCCTGCCCCCACCCCTGCCCACCACCTCTACCCACCATCTCTACCCACTACCCCTGCCCCCACCCCTGCCCACCACCTCTACCCACTACCCCTGCCCCCACCCCTGCCCACCACCTCTACCCACCATCTCTACCCACCACCCCTGCCCCCACCTCTGCCCACCTCTACCCGCCACCCCTGCCCACCCCTGCCCACCTCTACCCACCACCCCTGCCCCCACTCCTACCCACCTCTACCCACCACCCCTGCCCACCCCTGCCCCTGCCCACCACCCCTGCCGACCTCGGGGTCAAGAGAATCCATACGGTCAAGTGTGTGCTGTTCACAAATGTGTGCACACCAGCCGGCTGACCGGGCTGAATCCACATCTTTGCTTCCTTTCTCTCGCCAGCAGGCCCCACCCGTGGGTCCCCCTTCATGCGCCCCTGTCACTGAGGCTGGGGGCCCGATGGGGGTGGGGGGTGCCGGCCACAAGGCGGGAGGAGAGCAGACCAGTGCCCTCTGAACTCACCAGCACCCAGACCTCGCTCTCTCCCAGGGTGGCGAGGGGCTGAGTCATCCCCGCCCGCCTGCCAGCCCTGCCATTGCCCTGCGCTCCCCAGATCACTCAGCACCGGCCTGGTTCCCACGGGGCGCCCTGAGAAAGAACTCGGGGTCAGGGAGGTGAGGAGGAAGCCAGAATTAGTCAGAGAATCAAAGCAGAAGCACACATGCCCGGTGCCAGGGGCTGCCCCGGCGCCCGGTGCCCAGGGGCTGACCTTTCAGAACCCAGCCCGGCTCCTGGCTCCCGGCTCCCGGCTCCCGGCTCCTCTCCTCTGGTGTCTGGTGATCATGGGGAGGGGGCGGCGGGGGGCAGGGGCGGCTGGAATGGATGATCCCCCGACCCGTCCTGGGCTGCGTCTGCCCACACACCACAGCTCACCAGCACCTTCCAGGACCCGGCTCCTCTGCTCTGTGAGGCCCCAGGAGGCTGGGCAGCCCCCGGAAGCAGGCAGCTGGCTGGGACAGCCGGACTCGGGGCCCAGGACTGACCGGCTCTGGCTCCGGCCGCTTAGCAGCTCCTGGTGAACGGCCCTTGAAAATGAAATGCTCAGCCCGGCCGAGTGGCTCCGTGGCTGAGCGTCGACCTAAGAACCAGGAGGTCAGGGTTCGATTCCCGGTCAGGGCACATGCCCGGGTGGCGGGCTCCATCCCCAGCGGGGGGCGTGCAGGAGGCAGCCGGTCCATGATTCTCTCTCATCATGGATGTTTCTCTCTCTCCCTCTCCCTTCCTCTCTGAAATCAACAAAAAATATATATTAAAAAAAACAAAAAGCTGATAGAACATCGCGAGACTAGAGAAATGGAGGTGGGGGAAGGGAGACACCTTACTCCATCCAGCACAGCCACCCCGGGCATCTGTCCTGTTCCCTCCAGCCTGTCCGTGTGCCGTTTTATAAAACATGCATAAGGCTCCCCCTTCATGTTGTCTCCTATCATTTCACATTGTGACACGGGCCTCAGGGCCGGCCCTCACCAGGCCCAGCTGCAGGCACGGGGGGATGGGGGGGAGGCACACGGGGGGCGGGCAGGCACACGGGGGGGGGGGGGCAGGCACACAGGGGGGCAGGCACACGGGGGGCGGGCAGGCACACGGGGGGCGGGCAGGCACACAGGGGGGCAGGCACACGGGGGGCGGGCAGGCACACGGGGGGCGGGCAGGCACACGGGGGGCGGGCAGGCACACGGGGGGGACAGGCACACGGGGGGGGGGCAGGCACACGGGGGGCGGGCAGGCGTGGAGTGAAAGAAAAGGCCCTTCGATCAGGGACCTCGGGCTCTGACCCCAGACAAGCGCTAAACAGGTCAGTGAAACGATGGTATCAGGTCAGGCAGCACCAAGAGGAAAAACAAACCGGAGACCCGCTTGGGGACCGGAAGGGGCTTCGGGGCGCACACAGCACCCAAGATAACAGAGACTTTGTATCCTCCAGGCGCGGGCGTGGGCGTCGAACAGCGAACAGCGAGTCTGTTGCCTCCTTGGACTTATCATTTTCCAATCTCTCTTTAAGCGACACCTTCACATTTGCATGGCACTGAGTTTCAGAAGCCCTTCAAGGACTTCTTTCATCCTGAAAGCAGCCGCCGCTGTCTGACCCGGAGGAGGGTGAGGCGTGCTATTCCTGGGGCTGTAGATGGACTAACTTCTTTCTTTAAAAAAATTTTTTTTTAATTGATTTCAGAAAGGAAGGGAGAGGGAGAGAGAGAGAGAAACATCCATGATGAGAGAGGATCAAGGATCGGCTGCCTCCTGCACGCCCCACACCGGGGATGGAGCCCGCCACCCGGGCCTGTGCCCTGACCGGGAATCGAATCCTGACCTGGTTCATAGGTCGATGCTCAACCACGGAGCCACAGGGGCTGAGCAAAATCACCATTCCTTGCCTGGGAGAGTCACCGTGAGGCTGGGAGGACACGTCCCACCCCCACCCCCAGGCCTGACCCCTCGAGCAGGAGAGAGAATTGGGTTGGTCCTCAGGCTGCAGCCTGGCCTCCCTTTGGGAAAATTCCTGAGTCCCTTTCCCCTGAGACTGACTTTCCTTTAGGGCAGTGGTTCTCAACCTTCCTCATGCCGAGACCCTTTCATACAGCTCCTCATGTTGTGGGGACCCCCAACCATAACATTGTTTTCGTGGCTACTTCATCACTGTCATGTTGCTACTGTGATGAATCGTCATGGAAATATCTGATATGCAGGATGCATTTTCATGGTTACACATTGAACATCATTAAAGCACAGTGATCAATCACAAAAACAATATGTCATTATATATGTGTTTTCCGATGGTCTTAGGCAACCCCTGTGAAAGGGTCGTTCGGCCCCCAAAGGGGTCGCGGCCCACAGGTTGAGAACCGCTGCTTTAGGGCAAATCCTCTTAAATCAAAAGTCCTGTTAACCCGACAAATAAAAGGCCAGCCGGCGTGGAAAGCAACAAAGCATGTATTTGAGATCAAAAGAAGAGCAGATTCCGGAAGCGCCCGTTCAGGCGGAAGCCCAAACAGGGTTGGCATGAGGAGGCCACGGGCGATGGGGCATTTATGAGAAAGGCGAGGGGACAGGGGCATCCAGAAAATCACGGCGACCTCAACAATGTTTTCAGTTCCAGTCCCGTGGCCTTAGCAACAGCGTTTGCTTTGCAAATAGCTCTTTGAGATACAATGTTGCCACTTGCATCTCTGCAAACAGCTCTTTGAGATACAATGTTGCCACTTGTCTTTGCAAACAGCTCTTTGAGATACAATGTTGCCACTTGCATCTCTGCAAACAGCTCTTTGAGATACAATGTTGCCACTTGTCTTTGCAAACAGCTCTGTAAGATACAAAGTTGCCGGTTTTAACACCCCCCAGGTTGGAGGCACAACGACCGGCAAGGCAGTTCCCTGGGAGACCACCTCCCACTTCACTATAAAGGGACTCCATTTACACGTTTTTTCACAAACACTGAATTTCCAAGCCCCCAAGCCCCCGTCCCCCGCCCCCAAACCTCAAAGGCCAGGCGCAGAATGCGGAGAAAGCGGATAATCCACACACCTGTCCCCGGTGGTCCCAGGACCCACAGGAGCCGGCTGGTGCCCATGTGAAACCCACAAAGGGCACGTCCCCTCTTTGAAGCGACACCTGGCTGGCAGGTGCCCTTGCATTTGTGTTGTTTTGTTTTTTCCCCTCGGTGACCTTCAAACTGGGAAACAAACGTCTTTTAAAATAATAATAAGCAGAAGAACCGACGAGCGCCGCCGCTGGCCTGTGGATGGCTCCGCCCAGGTGGATGCGGCTACCGCCCACGGTGGGGGCATCACCCCAAATCCTCAGGGGCCCGAGGCCAACCTCAGGGGCCCCCGTGGAGCGTGGTCTGACCCCCCAGTTCAGCCGCCCCTGCCACTCATTTCACGGCGGCCGCTCAGGCACAGAGGCACCCGGCCAGGCTCCGGGGAGCAGAGCGGGGACCGAGGGCGGTGATGCGCACAGAGACCCCCGCCCCTGGCGACGGGTTCCCGGTCCCGGGTCCCAGGGAAGGGCCAGGTGGCTGCCAGGTGAGTCCCGCTGCCCGGGAGCGGGGAAACCCATCCCCGGGCGAATACACCGGGTGGCAGACACGGGCCCGTTCCCAGGGCTTTGGGGAACTTTGAAAGCGAGAATCTGAATCGATGGTGACTCATGACTCGGCCCAGTCGCCAGAGATGACACTCAAAGGGCGGCTGGTTCCCACTGGCGGGAGGTTTTTGGAGAGGCGCGAGGTCTGGTGCGGTTCTTAGGAGACGGAGGCTGTCGTCGGGGCCAGAGAAGCTGCAGCTGAAGACAATGGCTTTGGGGCTCTGAGTTGGAAATTCCGGGGTGCCGCGGGGAACCCACTCCCCTCTCCTGTGCCTGGCGAGCCTGCGGGTGTCCCCGCTGCTGTCCGCTGGCTTCACGGGATCCTGAAGGGACTGGAGCGCCTTCGCCCAGGCGCCCACTGCGCGGAGGGAGCGCTGGGCCCGCAGCCTGGCTGGGGAGGGGGGCGTCCAGGAAGCGCTGAGGTTCGGAGAAGCCGACGGCGGCGGAGAAGACCCGGTACCCCGGTGCCCGCGGAGAGGCCCGCTACCAGCAGAGGAGACGCGCCGGAGATCCAGCCGCCTCCCGGGGCCTCCGCGGGGCTGGGGCCGCTACGCGCGCGCGGGCCAGGTGCCGGCTCTCCGTCCGCGCTTGTCCCCCGCTGTCGGCCGCGCCCCGCCCGTCGGCGCTGGGGTCCCCGGAGCTGAGCCCGCGCGCCAGGCGCCATGCCCGGGCGCGGAAGGAGCGGTCCAGCAGCAGGTAGATGAGCGGGTTGGCGCAGCCGTGGCCGAAGGCGAGGCAGGTGGCGAGGGCCAGGCCCCAGCGCAGCGCCCGCAGCAGCGGGCAGGTCAGCGGCAGCGTCTGGAGATGCGCCAGGTGCAGGGCGGCGCGCAGGGCGCCGAAGGGCAGCCAGGAGCCCACGAAGGCGCCCTCGACGGCGCAGATGATGCGCAGCGAGGCAGCGGGGAGGCGGCCGAGGCGCGGGGCCCGGCGCAGGCGGCGCGCCAGGCGGCAGTAGCAGAAGAGGGAGGCGCCCAGCGGCAGCGCGCAGGTCAGCAGCAGCAGCCCCAGCCCGAGCGCCTGCCAGGCGTCCGAGGGCCGCTCGCCGCACTGGCTGCCCGCGCCGTCGGGCCGCGGCTGCAGGTCCCGGGAGACCAGGGCGGGCAGCCCGACCAGCAGCGCCGCGGCCCAGACGCCCCGGCACAGGGAGCGCGCGCACCGCGGGGAGCGCAGCGGCCGCGCCCCGACCGGGCGCACCACGGCCACGTAGCGGTCGGCGGCCAGGCCGGCCAGCAGCAGGGCGCCCGCGCAGCGCGAGGAGGCCACGGCGAAGCTGCTGAGCTTGCAGAGCGCGCGGCCGAAGGGCCAGCGGCCGCCCCCCGCCGCGGCCGCGGCCCAGAGCGGCAGCGTGAGCACCAGGCCCAGGTCGGCGGCCGCCAGGTGCCACTCGAAGGTGTCGGCCAGCCGCCGCGGGCCGCGCCGGGCCAGCAGCCGCAGCACCAGCCCGTTGCCCAGCAGGCCCAGGGCGCAGGCCGTCAGGTAGAGCGCGGGGACCACAGCGCGCGCGTGGGGCAGCTCCCCAGCCGCGCACAGCGCCAGCTCCTCGTCCAGGACGCCCCACCCGGACCCGGACCCCGAGTACTCCCAGGGCGCCGATGTCGGGCTGGGGCTCCAGGGCGGCGCGGTGGGGGGCATGGCGGGGCCAGGACTGTGCGCACCCAGGACGCAGCGCGGGGCGCAGGTGGTGGCGGCAGTTCTGTGGGTGCCCAGCACCTCCCTTCCTGCCTCCCGGGCCCAGGGGATGGGTGGGCAGGAAGGTGGTGGTGGAGGAGGGGAGGAGGGTGTCGGGGTGGGGCAGCTCCCCCACTGCAGATGGTGGCCCCGGGCCAGGAATGGAAACTTCATTGCTGGGTCCGTGGAGGAAAAGTCCTCGGGGCTGGGAACCCCGCCTGGCCGCCCCGGGGAGCCGCCTGATGTCGGGGTGCAAGAGCGGGGGTGCCCTGGAGCCCCCCAGGCTCCCGGCTGCTGTGTGGGCAGGTGCGGAGACAGAGCCGCATGAGACTGGCGTGGGCCGTGGGGATGGGGCCTCGCCTGTGCCCATCCACCGTCCTGCAGGGAGCCTGGGCCGGGGACCTGCCTCCCACACAGGGGCTGGCCGGTCACCAGAGCTCTCAGGTGCATTTGACATGTGGCTGGGCCTCTCTGGCCAGGTGACATCCAGGTACTCAGTCCGCAAGGAGCACCCAGGCGGGCCCTGACTGCTCTCTGCTGAGCCGGCAACAATGTTGCACTTCATCTCCTGAATAGACCCGCTCCTGCTCCTTCATCCTCACTGCAGACCTCCCTCCCTCTCCCTGAAATGCTGGGGTAAATGTCTGAATGCAGAAGAAGAAAGGAAAGGGGAAACGTCCATGAGGAGAGAGAATCACTGATCGGCCGCCTCCTGCACGCCCCCCTACCCAGACCCACAACCCGGGCCTGTGCCCTGACCGGGAATCGAACCGTGACCTCCTGGTTCACAGGTCGATGCTCAACCGCTGAGCCATTTATGATTGAAACCAGGGCCCTTCCGAGAGTCTGAGAGGCAGGCGTTGTCCTCATCCACCTGGGCCTCGATCCAGGACTGCTCTGGGGGCGAAGATGGCAGCCCGGGGTCCCTGTGGCCCACGCGAACCCCCGGGAACTGCATGTGTCCAGGGGGTCCTCCCCGGGCCTGTTACGGATGGACAAAGGCAACAAGAGAGGAGGCCGGGGCCCACGGGGTGTCTGCTCCTCCCTCCAGGATGCTCCAGCCCCCGGGCTTGGGTTACCCCTGATGCCCCCCACACCCCAGGGGGTGGAATCTGAGGGCTGGGAGATGCGGAGACGTTGCCCTGATGTCTGATCCCACAGGTGCTGGGAGTGGCACCCACATCCTGGTGGCCTGGGGGCCGAGCCTCCTTCCCCTGATGGCATCAGGCCGTGCCCGCTTGCCAGGCCAGAGCCCCTGGACGTCACCCCCTTTGGGCACCCTCTGCCCGGAGCCCCCAAAGCGCCAGGGATTCTGAAACGGAGAGACGAACGCCAGGGGAACGAGAAGATGGGCGAGCGGCCGAGCGGGGCCTGGGCGGGGGTGGGGGAAGTGGAAATAGGTTGTTTATTAAAAACACAGAGACTCTTGCTTCCTGGGCTGTGGTCTCGCACCCAAGGGAAGTCGGTGGCCCAGAGCACACGGGGTTTCTCTCTGCGGGCCTGGGCCCCGGGGCCTTTCGGAACCTGTCTGATGGCAGGAAGCAGCAGAGGCCGCACTGGGGCCTCGGCTTGGCCTCCCCGGGTGGGCGCCCAGCCCGGGTCCAGGGACCCAGGCCCGCGTCCTCCCTTCCCCACAGGAGGAGGAGAAAATCAATCCCCTTTCTGAGATGCCTGGCCACCTGCTGTCAGGGGTCAACAAAGCCAAAGGGGGGGTCCTCCCTCAGCCTCGGGGCTTCTCTGTCCATCACGGTGACTGGCAGGAGCGTGAGACAGACACACCCAGACACGGGCAGCCGAGGCCCGACCTGGACTGCTTTCAGGGTAGGTTTTCGTTTTACTTCCGCTCCTTTGTGGGCGCTTACAACTCTCCCCGCCAATTTAAAAAAATATAGATTTTTATTGATTTCAGAGAGGAAGGGAGAGGGAGAGAGCGAGAGAAACAGCCATGATGAGACAGAATCATCGATCGGCTGCCTCCTGCACGCCTCACGCTGGGGACGGAGCCCTGACCAGGAATCGAACCGTGACCTCCTGGTTCCTAGGTCAACCCTCAACCACTGAGCCACCCAGTCGGGCCTGTTTGGTTTTTACTCCGCCGTGTCAGTCACATGCGGATTAGAAGGCAGAAGCCGCATCACTGCACGTTTCTTTGGGTTGCTGAATTTTCTAGCGCCTTAATTTTTTACATTGAGGTTGTGCCCAGTATTATTTTTGCTGTTGTGGAAATGTGTCTGAAATAACTGCACGTAAGACTGTGGTTTTTTTCTTTCTTCTTCTTTGGTGCCGTTTTCACGGGGTGAGTGCCCTGGTGAAGGTCAGAGGCTACGGGACTCCCAGGGCCCGAGAGGGACAGTGATTGGTCACCTTGTGGCTTTGTTGGGGTCCTGGGCGCGGCCATCTCCCTGGGCATGTCCACCGGTAAAGCCTATTTCCCCACTTTTATGGGTAACGCAAAGGGCACCTCACTTTAATTTGCATTTCTTCCAACACAGCGAGCTCGTCTCTGCACATTTAGCTGCTCTCGCGTCTCACCGCGCCCTTCCCGCGCCTGTCTGGTGTGACCATGTGTTACTGTCCCTGTGTGTGAGCTCATTGTCGAGGCTAAGTCAGGGCCCCATTGGGTTCAGATATTTCCCCAGGCTGGTTTCTCAGCCATTTTCACTGTCTCTAGGTCTCCATTGTCACGTAGCCCCGTTTGTTGCTCTCAGCAATTTCCGAGGTTAAAAATGTTCCTTCCTCTTTGCTGATCTAGAAGCATTCACTTCTGTTCTTGTTAGAAAACATGTTTGTCAGTTTCCCCATCTACCTAGAGTGCAGTCTTTTTCTTTCCAGGTTTCTCTCGAACTTTCCCAGGGCCATTCAATGCAAAGCACATACTGTACTGGAAACTGACATCAAATATTACTGACTAGCAACGGCCACGGACACATAAAAGTTCAAGTGGGCCTGGGAACCGCCCCTGCTGTGCCCTTGCGTCGTAAACCCACGTCTGCAGGGCCCGGGTCTGCGTCAGAACATTAGCGACCAGTCTGGCTTCACAGCAGCTTCGTAACCGGCCCGTTTCCACGTCTGCCTGGTGGGCGCTGTGAGGGTGCAGCCGCCGTGGGAGCCCCGTCCTGGGCGGGGGCTGGGTGGGGCCCAGCGATGCTGGCTCCCCGGGCCTTGGCTGGCATCACAGAGGGCGGCTCAGTGACCCTGTCCCGTTGCTCCCGCCTCCAGGACACACGTTTTCTCTGCACACAGTGGGCGGTCGCTTTCTCAGCACACAGTGGGTGGTCGGCAAGCGGCTTAGGAGTCGCACAGTTCACTAGGCCTGGGGTCCCGGGTGAAGGACAGACAGACGGCTGCCAATTCAGTTGCTGTTGGTTGACAGTGACTGGGGCCTGAGCGTGAGGCACGCCTTGCAAAGCCACTTCTCCTCATGGGGCCACTCTCGCTCTCTCGGGGGAAACACTGACCTGGGGGCGGGGAGCCACTGTGACCGAGCGGCCACCATGATGGGGTTTCCCGCAGACCACACAGCCCGCGGCAGGTGGTGGCTGTGTCTGTGCATCCACATGCGTGTATCTGTGTGCGCGCGTGTATCTGTGTGTGTGAAGGCCTGGAGGGCACCAGGGGAGGGCCCCGGCCTGGATGCCCGAGGCCGTGGGATGTTGCAGACACTCAGTTCTTTCAGACCCTGGCAGCCACCGCACAGGAGCTGGGAGGAGAAGAGAGGGTCTCTAATGTGAGCACAGCCCCCGGGTGACTCAGAGTGAAAGCCAGGGCTGCAGCTGTGTGGCCTCGGGGCCTAACCTGCCCCCATCCCCTCGTGGCCCCTGGTGACAAGAGCCGGTGGCACCAAGGCCTGTGCAGGTGAGCCAGCCCCTCAGAGGCCCAGGGTCGGCGCTAAGGGGTCCCAGACGTAAAGGCCCAGGATCTGCTTGGCAAGGACGCACCCCTCCCGTCTGGGGTCGCTCCTCAACCAGGACACCCACGGCTACACACACACACACACACACACACACACACACACACACACACACACAGCTACACACACGCACACCCACACCTACACACACACACACACACACACACACACACACACACACACACACACACACACACACACACACACGGCTACACACACACACACACACACACGGCTACACACACACACACACACGGCTGGTGGCTGGCAGGTTGAGACGGGAGAACTACGAGAGGAGTTCACCTAAGTCCAGAGAGTATCACAGACAGACCCCACATTTCACTCAAGACACAGGTCTCCGGGTGCCATGCGTTTATTGGGGCGAGGAGAGCCACACTGTGCGGGGGCCGTGCGCCTGTGGGCAGGTGGGCGGCGCCAGGAAGTCCCCAGGAAAGGCTGGCCCGGCTCTCAGGGGCCAGAGGACACCATGACAGTCCCCCCCACCCCCAGGCCGCGAGGGCAGAAGGCTCCGGAGCGCGGCAGGTGCACCTGAGTGATCGTCGCGGGTGCCTGACCTCGGTGTGTGTCAGCCAGCGGGTCGTGAGAACCCCCAGGACCGACGAGCCCATGATCTGCATCGAACTCTTCAGACATGATTTTTAAAAACGGCTGCACCTCAAGGAAACAGATGCTACACTGAGGGTGGCGGGCTGTTGTGGCGACATCACACTCTACCTTTGGAGGCGGCGGCTGCGGGACCCACGCACACGGGAGACCAGCGGGCGGCTGCTGGCGGTGACTCTGCCCCCATGGACCTACGTCCAGTTGTTGAAAATTTAATGTCCTGGCGACATGAGGAAGATGCTGCGGAAGCCAGACCTGGTTTAAGAGACCAAATGTAGCCCTGGCCGGCTTGGCTCTGTGGATAGAGCGTCGGCCTGCAGACCAAAGGGTTCTGGGTTCGATTCTTGGTCAGGGCACATGCCCAGGTTGCGGGCTCAATCCCTAGTGCGGGGCCTGCAGGAGGCAGCCGATCCATGATGTTTCTCTCCCCCTCTCCCTTCCTCTCTGAAACCAATAAAAATACGTTAAAAAAAAGGACCAAATTTAGTTATGTACGATGCTCACTAATTCTCTTTTTGATGACTATTTGCCACATTTTAATTCTGTTTATTTACTCCTTTTTAAACCAGTCTTAATCTAAACGCCATTTGGTAACTGCGTCTCCTAACGGGACAGACTGAACGGTAACGTGTGTGTTCCCCGTTTTAATGCGCATGTTACACACGGCGTGTATCCACTTACAACACGAGAGCCACACGGCCCCTCTCACATGCAGACAGCAGGTCACGAGTAGTTTGAGCTACACATACATCTTGCACAGATACTGGGAAAAAATCTGTGAATTTTTTACAGTTTTAACAAATATACATAAATATAAGAACATAAATTACAGGACGATATCGACAGCATTGAGAACGTCGGTAACTCAGAGGCGCGGATGCCCGAAGGGCCTGGGACGACAGGACGGGAAAGCCCCATCCGACATCCGTCCCCACTGTCTCTCCAAATAAGTACGTGCATCACAGGAGATGCTAGCGACTCTCTAACGACTCAGTGAGAACCGCGTGCATGCGAGCCTCTACCCTCCTGTCTGACCCGCTGATGCTCCCCTAGGCTCCCCAAGGCCCACGGCTGCCGCACCCACCTGCACCCGGGTCCCATGATCGCCCGGTCACATGATCGCCCACATCTTCCTGAGAACGAGGCTCCCACGGCACGTGTGCGCTCGCTCTGAGCCGCCCTCTCGGATGGGATACAGGAGAAGAAAAACTCAACGTAAGCAAAGTCATGGAAGCTGTTTTAAAATTAAAGTGTAGCCCTTTGTACATGTGTAAGTTCTAATAGAGTTTGGATGTCAGTTATAAATAAAATGAGGAAAAGAGCCGCTCCCGCCCCAGCTCAGGCGACCGGCCCTCGGGCGGGAAGCAGACAACACTGATTAACCTGCAACGTGCTCTTGGCTGAGCTCCCGGGGGCTCCGCCGACCCCAGCAGCTCCCACACCCCCACGAGCCGAGACCGTTAATACTAGTGAGTGAGAAACACAGGCGGGCACGCTTACTGCGACTCCGACGCTCGGACACGGGGAAACATGAGGTCCCGTCAGACCAACACCAGGGCCCCGCGCGTCACGGGAAGGCGTGCGGCCTGCGCGGCCACCTCCCTCCGTGATCCCCACGGGAAACAAAACACAGGGACCTCGGAATAAACCCCACGGAGAGAAAGGCATCAAAATAAACATAAGGACAAGCACATACATGGAAAGTGTTAAAAAAGCAACAGATAAACCCATATTCTGTACCCTCGCCGTCTTCCCCTTCAGTCCAACAGTGTGAGGCGGGCTCCGTGCCCCTGGCCTGCGCCGGTGCGGCCACGCCCGCCACCGGACCGGCGTCCATCGCCACGGGCACCACCGGCGAGGAGAACCCGCCCCCGCCCGGTGGAGCGCCAGCCGCCGGCAGCAGCTGCGCCCAGTGCAGCGAACACGCGTGGGCTGGCGATCAGGGAGGCTCCCCTGCAGGAGGCGGCGGCGGTCCCCACGAAGTCCCGGAGCGAACCCCGACCCTACGCCTTTGTGGGCAGCAGCTTCTTGGGCGTCACGGGCCGCTTGCTTTGCCACAGGTGGCTGTGGATGGTGATGGCGTCCACGCTGGCCGACAGTGTCTTCGCGGGAATGTGGCTGAACTGCTTCCTGTCGGAGTTGTACTTGTAAAGGCCCTCGATCATCTTCTTGCTGATGGACTTGGGGCCGATCCCGGTCAGCTTGGCGATGTCCTCCGTCTCTGGACAGTAAGTATACAGAGACCGGAACTGGCAGCCCGAGTCCCGGAACAGGATCAGGAAGTTGTTGGCGTCCGACTTCTCCATTTCCTGCAGAACAGCCACACGCGACAGTGAGCACCCGCACGCGACACGGTGAGCACCCGCATGCGACACGGTGAGCGCCCGCGCAGATGCCGCTGAGTAACTGCAGGGCGTTTCTAGTCAAAGCTGATGACATTTAATCAAATATAAATTCTTCAAAGCCAGAGCACCACGCCTGTTACAAGAGCAAGGCGGTGCCACCACCTCACTCTGAGGCGTTGCTGGCTGCGTGGATGATGCTGTGTAGAGCGGCCAGTCCTGTCTCAGGAACCCCCCCCCCGCCCCCCACCCCCACCCCAGCCCGCCAGCCTGTGTCTCCTCAGAGCAGCTGCATTTGGAAACGACGTGACCTGCGCTCGTGAGCACGACTGAGCGGATCTGGGCAACAAACTGTGTAATTTCCGACCGTCCGCACCGTGTGGGGCCCACGTGCGGTGCACGCAGCCTTGCGGTCACGGGCAGTCACGGTCTTTGGTGCGGAAGGTGAGAGCCAGGAGGCTGCGCCCGCGATGGAGCCGGGACGCGCCCGTCCTCCCGCTGCAGCCCGCTCACCTCGAGGATCCGCTTCTTCTGGCCCTCGTTCACCCTGCCCGCCAGGCAGCAGTGCGCCAGCGCGTTCTGGATGATGTGCTTGTTGGACTTGGCGCTGGGCTCCTTGTACAGCTTTGGTCCTGGGGAGGATTTCAGGACAGGAAGTGACCTTCCCAAGTCGGAGGCGCCATCAGCGCTCCCCCGGCACCCCGGCCAGACCAGGGGCCCCACACAGGCGCTCCCGGCCCTCGGCACCGGGTCCCACGCAAGGGGGCGGCGGCTGCTCTAGTTCCTCTGCAGGTCCCACCTGGACGGGCCTGATGCCCACCCCGGTGCCTTCCCCTCACCTGCCAGCGGCCACACCCCTCCCCGCTGTCTCCCTCCCGCTCCGTGTCCCACCCCGTGAAGCCCGGGTCCCGCGGCGCCGACACGGCCCGGGGCTGGGAGGGCCCGAGGGACACGAGCACTGGGTGCCCGCCGGCCCGAGGAACGGTTTCAAAGCCGCACAGTCCTACAGACTGACGTCTTCTGGCCCAATCACAGCCCAGAAACGGCCAGAGGATGCGGTTTCACTCGGAGATTTCTCTCAGCTCATCTGGCTCAGTCACGCCCGCCCGAGCGAACCTGCAGCCTGAGACTGACCCCCTGAGACTGACCCGGCACCCACAGGCCCGGCCCAGAGCCTGTCCTCTCGGCCCGGGAAGGGCACAGCCGCGCCCACCTGTGTACTCTGTCCCCGAGGCCACCGAGGACGTGGTGGACGCGTTCTCCCAGTCCTTCTCTCCGTTCCGGCTGCCGCAGCGGCTCGGGGACAGGAAGCCCTCCACGGACTCCGACCTGGAAGCCAGGACACACGGTTACGTGTCAGACACAGAGAGGGCGTGGCCAGAGGGACCCGTGAGGGCGCCACCCACACCGCCCAGCGACTGAGAGCGCGCTGGGCCTGCCGCCCAGGCCCCGGCACAGCACCCGTGGGCACCACCGAGGGAGTGAACGGCTCCATGTGGAGACGCCACTCACACAACAGGATGGCAACACTGAGGCTGACGCACGAGGCCTGCTGCTCTGGGGGTTGGGAATAAGGTGCCGAGGAGAGGGCAGCGGGAGCCCTGTGCCCTCGGCAGCTGCTCTGGGCCGACCCCGGGGGGGGGGGGGGGGCACTTTGTATCTGGCAGGAAACAGCTCGAGGCCGGCGCCTTTCGGTTCTGCCTCCCGTGGCTTTGCCACGACCCCGTCAGCAATCGCTGCTGACGTCTGTAGCTTATAAAAGCATCTTATCAATGTCACTAGTTCTAGGCTCTGTTCGCTGAAAGGTGAACAGACCCTCTGTACACACGACCTAACCGCTCTATCCTAGTGAGCAAAGCCTGTGAGAGCTAGCGGCCAGGACTTCATCCTGAGACGGACCCTCCCTCGGACATTCGGACGGACGGACAGACAGACGGGTAGATTACCTGGGCGTCCTCTTGCCGGACTGCACGCTCTCGCTGTCACCCGTAGTCAGTGACGCCAGGGAGAGGCTAGAGACTGAAAGACACAACGAAGCTGTGGCCTGAGTGAGAGCAGCGCCCTCCCAGCAGCAGGAGGCGTCTGCTCGCTGGCCCTCGCGGCCCGTGGGAAGGGCAGCCGCGCTCTCCCCGTTCTACTCCCTCTC